GACGCTCCCCCTTAGAGTTTATTGGCATTGGAATGGTGTCACAATTCAGATTGGAGTCAATGCACTTGGTGTATGAAGGAATGTTCAAGAGATTTCTGGAAGCTCAAATATCTTGGGATGGACCATTAAAACTTAATGCAGCTACAATGAGACAAATATCAGCTATCCTCTTAGAAATGAAACTCACATGTCCAGTTGATTTTAATAGGAAACCTCAAGTTCTTGAGAAATGGCACAAATATAAAGCCACTGAGTTTCGACGGCTTCTTCTTTATGATGGAATGGTTGTATTCAAAAATAATTTGCATCCTAGCATTTATCTACAGTTTCTTCTCTTGCAGTGTGCTATTTATATACTGGCCAGCAAATATCTTTTGTCTATATTTTGTGATGAGGCTGAGGTTTTTCTTGACAGACTTGTAGATCATTGTGTTGAAGTATTTGGAGAGCACTTTGTATCTTATAATGTTCATAGTCTAAAACATTTAGCTAATGAGTGTAGAAGTCATGGGCCTTTAGACTCTTTCAGTGCATTTCCATATGAGAATTTTTTGAAAGATATCAAGAACACATTGCGATCTGGTTACCAGCCTTTACATCAACTTGCCAAGAGAGACTCTGAAAGAATAGAGAAAAAAGAAGTGGTCATGGAAAACCAAGACAATACAGTTGAACTATTTCATGCTCATTATGATCCATTTGAAAAAGTACTCGGTGAGCAGTACAAAAAAATATGTATTAACAAAGTTGTGTTGAAAATTGGACAGAAAGATTCGTGTTTCATGACAAATAAAGGTGTTGTTGTTGTTCTGGAAAATATTGTTCAGAGAGACAAAAACAGTATTGTCCTCACTGGAAAAAAGTTTAATAATCAAGATGATTTTTATACTTTCCCACTTAAGTCATCATGCCTTGGAATATTTAAAGTATGGAATAAAAACGATCTGCGAGAAAATTTTCAAGTGGAAAATATTTTTGCAAAATGTTGGCTAATGCGACATGATAACATTTTTGTTGCTGTTCCACTTGTGCATACGACTCCCCTCCTTCACTAAGTTAGTACTTAAAATACTAATATAAAATTAAGTAAACTATTGTCTCAATTTTACACTTCTGGTTGTAGTTAAATTGTGAGTTATATTTTTCCTCTTATTACAGTTTGTTGTGTTAAAGTTCCTGAGTGAAGATCCTGATGAACCTGAGGATGAGATTTATGAAGTAGCATACAGTGGATGGCTTCAGCAGGAAGCATCACAACTTCAGAATAAATGCCTGTGGCCTCCTTCTTCGTACACTTCGAAGCAAATATCTGAGATGGTCAAAAAACAAGTACAGGCACCCACTGATGGATCTTGGAAGGCCTGGCAATGTGAAATTCAAAAATTTTATGGTAAATTTTTGAAATAAAGTAAAGCAATAATATTTATAACCTTTAATCTTAACCTTAGTCAAGTCTGATATTGTGTCATTATATTTCCTGACAGTTATGTTTTTCATGGAGTTATATCTCTATAAGCGCATAATATTATTTAATATGCAATAAATATTCTGAGCGCATTTTTGGAATATTTAGTATTTTAAGAATGAGCTCAGAATATTAAATAATATTATGCGCTTATAACGATGTGTTTACTTTCTGTATAGGAAACTATTTAAATGCTCATCTTGGAGCACAGAGACGA